CCCCCAGGGATGTCCTCTTGATCTTTCCTGATGAGACCTCTCCAAACCAACCCTGAAGCAACCCACCCATCCCTTCAAACCCAACACCCCACGGGTAAGATGCCATCGCCCTGCAGAAGGGGCCATCCTGTGGGACAGAGGGCAGAGATGGGAAGAGAAAGGGGACAGGGGAATGTCAACCTTGGTTTCTCCTAGGGAAGGAGTGTGGTGAGCACCAGAAGCTGACAGGCTGGGGAATAATGGTCTGAGCTCACTCTTATTTAAAGCCCAGCCGCCCGCTGCGTTCATCGCCAGCCCTGCTCTGACTTGCAGCAACAGTTAAAATTAAATATACATAAGTGCTTTCAAAGAACTGTTAATTGAAGGGCATTAAATGGTATAAAATACATCCTCTTTATTTTCCTCCTCGGCAGAGGCAGGAATAATTCTCTGAACAGGCTCCTCTGCCAGGCTCAGCAGCTGCAGGAGTGGCCGAATTCACCTTCGCTGCCGGCCACGGCCACGTCTCCTTTTAATTACTGCTCTTCAGAAAGCTCCTGCCTCCTCCCTGGCCTGGGGGATGGGACCAAAAACGTGGCAAAGCCCAGGGGGGAAAGGATGCAGCTGAATTCCCAGCTGGGGTATTTATTTTGGGGGGGAGGATGAGGGGTGAAAGACAGCGGGCTGGCACCGGAGGATGAAGAGGGGAGAGAGGAATTCGAAGCCTGTTGGCAACACCTCGTCCAGATTTTAATATCTTGCCCATCCAATTCTCCCACTGAGACCTTGGGCCAAGCTCTGAGCAGGGTTTTTTGTAGCAAAAAGACCCTTTTTTGAGGTAATGCTACATGCAAAATAAAAAACCCCAAAGCCAACACAGACACACACACACCAAAAACCCTTTAAGACGACAGAAAAGGGTTGAGATTTTTTTGCAGTTGTCCTAGAAATGTAGAGAAGGAGCTGAACAGTGCAAAGTATTTCTGTGAAAGGGGCAGGTGATGAGGTGGGGCAGGGTCTGCCCCAGCAGGGTCCACCACCAAAGGGCACCTCCCAGCACCAGCACGTGGCAGATGAACCCATCAGGACAGGGCGTGAGGGATGAAGCCCAGCCTGGAGGAAAAGTCTGTGGAGTTGGTCTGCTTGGCTGGGAAACACCTTTTTCTTTGATTTCTCTGCAACCCAAAACTTTAGGGGAGGAGGAAATAATTTTTGAGCCATCCCTTGCCATTTGGGATCAAAGAAAGGAGCTCCAATGATCTCCAATGATCTGACCACAGCCTGGATCAGAAGGCACGAAATGGGAGATTTCATTTTTAGACCATGCTTAGTGGTTTCTTCTTTTTTTTTTTAAGTTTTTTCTCAATTGGTTCTTTCCCCACATTTGGCAGAGCTCCTCTGTGCTGGCCACGCATCCAACAGACCCAAATCTGCATCACTCCTCAGTCCACAAACAAAGCAGCAAGAGAGACAAAGCAAGAACCTTCTGCCCCAGGTCCCACCACTGCCTGCAGCTCCCACCCCACATCTCCACAAGGCAAAGCCAGAGCATCTCCAACCACTTCTCCACATCATCACTGAGAGAGGAGACTCCTCAAATGACCTGGACACTGCAGCCACGTGGCTACAGCCAAGCCTCTGGGAGCCTCCTGCTGCCTTGACTTAGGTGGCACCTCCTTTTGGTGCCCTGCACCTCCCAACCCTGGCCAGAGCCTCCTCTCCTTGGCATCTGAGAATGGAAAAGAGCTGCTCCAAAGACACACAACCCTGCTGTCAGGTCACTGTCATTCCTGAGCAGAAAGGCTTCACAGTTGGGGGAAAAAAGTTTCCTTCAAAGAAACAAAATGGCCCAACAGAAGTCCTCTGGATTGGGTTGGTTTTTTTTCCCCAGCAAAAATCTACCATGGCTATTTTGCTCTTTCCTCCTTGATCTCCATGATCAGATCAGAAAACTGACAGTTTTTAGTGAACTCTTCCATTTAGGAGAAAGCCTCAAAGGAAGGAAGGAAGGAGAACAAGTGGCCTTTGGTGGCCCTCCATCAGGGACCATCTTGATAGCAACCCTGGGCTATCAAGCTGGGGAAAAGCAGCAGGGTGGGAAGCCCAACAGCCTGAAGCACAGTGCTGTGGCCACGTGTCACCTCCCCAGGGGACTTGCCACCTCACTTCTTGCTGGTCTCCCTACAGGGGAGCTCAGCATGGCACACAAAGCTTCTCTGAGGGGCTGAGACTGCTCTGGAAGGCAACACCTCCAGCAACGAGGCTGCTGAGATCCTCACCAAGCCTGTGGAGCAACCAGGGCAGCCCTCAGCGTGCAGCACAGCTCTGTTCCCCTTGCTTTCCAGCCAAAAAAGAAGAGCAGGTGAGCACTGGGCTGCAGCAAGGCTTTGGAAGGTGCCTTGCCAATTTAGGAGGTCAGGTTGGACCCTCCTGCTCCTTGTGCTGAGCAGACACCACGCTGCTCTCAGCCAAAAGCTTTTCCCCTTTACATCAGCAGCAGTTCTGGGGCTCAGGAGGGGTTTCTTGCCACACAGGTCACACCAGAACAAGTCTCTCCTCAGCCAGAACCCTTCCCAGAGCCACCCTCCTGCACTGGGGGACAGCAGCAGCAGCACAGGGGACTTCAGGGTTGGGGAAGGTGATGAACATTGTCCACCCAGGGACCTCAATCCAACCTAAAGCAGCACTCAGCACCTCTGGGAGCATCCAAGCACCTGGACAAGGAGTTTGGGACTCAAGTCTGCTGGGTCAGACTGTCACACTTCAAGGTTTTATAGCCAATCTGGCACCATCCCTCCCAGGGACAAACCAGAGCTGGGCTGTAGGACCAGGTGCTTGCATGGCCAGGGAGTCACAGAGGTGGAGTTTTGATATTTTAGCCTGGATCAGTGTCATTCACACCTTTAAATGCCTCCAGCCTCCTTCTGATGAAAGGGAAACCACAAAGCAGCCCAGAAAGGCTCCCTGCTGGCCAGTGAATATCAATGTGGGGAGGTGGGGCATTAGCATGCAGGGTGCCTGCTCCATCTGCATGTTGGATTGGGCCTGACAACAGCCTGGAATACAGATTTGGGCTGGAAGGATCCCCAGAGGCATCAGCCACGGGCTCTCAGACAGGACCAGGAGCAGCCCCTGCTGCTGTCAACAAAGGGGGGGGGTGTTTCTCTGCCTCTTTTTCTCAGGGGAGTTCAGTGATTTGAAACAAGCTCATTCCTGCATCTCTTTAGCTCCTGTTCCTCAGCAGAGTGGCAGGTTGTCTTCTTTTGGAGGTGAAAGGAGTAAAATTGGAGCACCCCAGCATTAAAATCCTTCATCTGCTGGTGGTGTTGGCCACCAGCCTCCCAAATCAAGGACCTGCTCCACACAGGAGTCCCCCCAACCACAAAGCACCCATGGCTCCAGCACAGGAGATGATGCTCATGACCAGAGTGTGGAGGCAGCAGGGCTGGTCCCCTTGGTGGCAGCCAACAAGTCTGGTGGGGCACCTCCAGGGCATCAACAGACATTGGGCAACCCAACGGGGTGGGTGGATGTAGAGCAAACCCACAGCAAGGACAGACAAGGGGCAAACCCACAGGGCAGAAGGACAGGAGGCAACCCCATGGCACAGCTGGGTGTCCCCAGCACATGGATGGAAGCACGAGGAGGATGGAGGGTTCCTCAGACACCTATCAGCCATGGCACCACCAACTCAGAGCAAGGACCTGCTCTCAGAGCTGGGCAACCTGCCCAGGCCACTGCTCCTCCTGCCACACATGGTGCCTGCAAGCCTCTGGTGATGGATCATCACAACTCACACACGACCCACTAAGTAAAAGGCTTATTAAGAGTTCCTTCACTTCATGAACTCCACAGAGGGATGTTAGATTGCCCAGTCTTACAATATTCTGTGAAGGAGATCAATTTGCAAGGAAGACCAACAGTGGAACGAGATAAATATAAAAATCTAATTAAATGTGAGGAAACATTCACTGGGAGAGGCTTTGAGGCAGCCAGTGGATAAATACAGAGGAGGACAGACAGAGACAGAGCTGCAGACCAAACAAATGGACCTACCTCTGAAGCCACGAACCCCAAGTCTGTAAATCAATATCAAAATCCACAAGATGGGGGGAGAGGGGTCAAAAAAAAAACCAAACAAGTCCTCCATAGCCATCTTCTGAGCATCTCCAAGGCTCTGGAGGCCTCAGCAGTCTGTTTCCCAGAGCTGCTCCTTCTTCAGCAGTCAGCAACCCAGCCACAGCCACGGGGCAGCTCCTCCAGTCGTGTCCCATCCCTTGGCATCCTCCTCCTCCTCCTCCTCCCCAGGATGCTGAGCAGTTGGCTCCACTGTTGGGCACTCCTCTGCTGCCTCCTGCTCCTGGGGGGGGGGCAGGCCAAGCTCCTGGGGGCGGGGAAGGGGGGGGTTAGCCACAGCTCCTGGGGCTGGGAACCCCCAGGATTCTTCAGTTATGGACAAGCAGGGAGTCCACAGTAGGTTGACAAGGTAACACACACACACACGGGGACACCTCTCTGTTATCCAGGGTGGATTATTAGTTTCCTTTTTTTTTTTTTTAAATCTTTTTTGTTTTCCTTTTTGCAAAAAAAATGCAAGCAAAAGAGACAAAAAAAAACCAAAAAAACCCAAGGTTTTCTATTGAAGGTACATCTCTTCTTCAATATGAAGACATTAACTGGATTGAGTCGGATCCCCCCATGCAGTGGTCAGCGAAGTCCTTTGGTAGCTGCTGAAGGGGCACCCAGGTAGGATGGCAGGGAGCTGTGGAGACATCTGAGGACACTTCCACCTGGTCCATGAGCAGAGAGGGCTGGGGCAGGGAAGGAGGGCAAAAGAAGAAAGGGAAGGTGGTTCCTCCAGACGGGGATGCTCCATCTCAGACCTCTCCCTTCCTCAACAGCCCTTTCCTCCTTCTCAGTTTCGACCACTGCTCAGCGGTGGTGGGATTGGAGTCTTGTCTCTAGGGTTTGGGTTTGCTTCCCCAACGCACATTGGTTTGTTGTCTTCATTGTTTTTTTTGTGTTTTTTTCTCTTTTAAATATACCATTTGTACATATTTATATGCATTTATACACTGTTCCCCATGACATTGCTAAGTGTGCTTCTGTTGGCGAGGAACGGAAGTCACCGGTTCGAGATGAGTCCCAGGAACATCCTTCATCTGGGGGGGTCCCGGTGCCCAGGCAGCGGTGGCACCTCTCCAAAGGCTGCCCCCTGGCACCCATCAGTTCCTCCCCTCCCACCTCTGCCCCCTCTGCTGCCTGCCCTCCCCCATCCCCTCCCCGTTGGATGAGGGACATCATGCCATCGAGGTCGGAGACTGGCTCATCTGTACTCGCATGGACTGAACACTGTTGAGGATCTTCTTCTGGTGTCCAGCCAAAGTCACCCCTATTCTCAGGAGGTCTCTGGAAGAGAGACAGAGGAATATCAGTAGGGCAGCTGAGGGTTGGTGGACCTGTTTTGCTGTTTCTAAGGGATGGGAGGGATGCATGCTCAGCTCATCCAGGCCTTTCAGGAGGTGGTTGAGGCCCCATCCCTGGGGGTCTTTAAGGCCAGGCTGGAGGAGGCT